AGTATAATCGACGGGCAACCTGAAGAACTGTGGACAGAAGTAAAAAACATAACTCAGGACAAATACAAGAAAACACTAACAGTGGCCAAAAAGAAAGATAAGAAACAATGGATGACAGATGAAGCACTTCATGCAATAAAAGAAAGAAGAAAAGCAAAAGCACAGTGAGAGAGTAACAAAACCAGAAGTATGAACACAACTGTCCAATGTCTGACATGCAGGGATAAGGAGAAATACTATGATGACCAATGCAGAGAAATAGAAAACAACAACAAAAAAGGGAAGAACAAGAGACCTCTCAAAAAATCTGAGAAATTAAAGCCAAGTTCAAACCAAGGGCAAGGATGCTCTATGGAGAAAAAAGAACATAATACAGGAACAAGAAATAAAAAGATGCTGGAGGCAATACAGAGAAGGGTTATACAGAAGAGATGGGGGAATGAATGATATATGAAATGAGGAGTCATATGAAGATAAATCCCAAATTCTAAGAAGTGAAGTGGAATCTGCAATAAAGAAAATGGGAAAAAATAAATCACCAGGAACAGACGATATCCCAGTTGAACTGTTTCAGTGCCTACAGGCAGATGCAACTTTAGCGATAACTAAAATATGCCAACAAAGTGATGGCAAACAGACTGTAAATGCTCGATATACATACCAATCCACAAGAAAGAAGATACAAAAGACTGCAGCAACTATAGGACAATAGCACTAATCTCACATGCAAGCAAAATAATGCTCAAAATTCTGAAGCATGGACTCCAGCCATACATGGAGAGAGAAATTCCAGAGGTGCAGGCAAGATTCAGAAAAGGAAGGGGCACTAGGGACCACATTGCAAACATACAATGGCTAATGGAACACACCATTAGAATTCCAAAAAAAGAATCAGCATGTATTTCATAGACTACAGCAAAGCATTTGATTATATAGATCACAAAAGGTTAAGGAATGCACTCAAAGATATGGGGATGCCACTATATCTGATAGTCCTGATGAGGAATATGTACCAAGGACAAGAAGCCACCGTCAGAACAGAATTCAAGGAAACAGAGTGGTTCCCAATAGGCAAAGGGGTCAGGCAAAGCTGCATCCTATCACCCTACTTGTTTAACTTATATGCTGAAAACATCATATGAAAAGCAGAATTAGAATCAGAAAAAGGAAGAGTTAAGATAGGAGGAAGCAACATTAACAACCTAAGATATGCGGATGACACCATAATATTAGCAGATGTTCAGGAATTGGAACAGTTAATAAGAAAGGTCAAAGATGAAAGTGTAAAGGCAGATCTGATGCTGAACATAAAAAAACAAAAAATAATGACCACAGAAGAAAAACACAAATTCAATCTAGGTGAAGAAATTGAAAAAGTTAAAGAATTCCCATATCTAGGATCAAACATTGACTAGAATGGAGACTGCAGTCAAGAAATAAGAAGAAGACTAGGAATGAGAAGGGCAGCTATGAAAGAACTGAAAAAGATAATGAAGAGCAATGACATACAACTTGAGCACGAAAGTCAGAATCATTCAGGCCATTGTATTCCCAATTGTCATGTAAAGCAGCTTCATTTATATATCACTTCATATAGGATGTGTAAGTGGTTTACAACTGTAAGCTCATTTCCCCCCAACAGTTGGGTACTCATTTTAGCAACCTCGGAAGGATGCAGGCCTGAGTCTAGCCTGAGCTCTGGCTAGTATAGATGCGAGAACTGGACAGTGAACAAAGCAGACAGAAAGAAAATCAACTCATTTCAAATGTGGTGATGGAGAAGCGTACTTAGGATATCATGGAAAGCCAAGAAGACAAACAAATGGATTCTTGAAATGATCAGACCAGGGCTATCCTTGGAAGCAAAGATGATCAAGTTGACACTATCTTACTTTGGCCACATAATGAGAAAGCATGGATCACTAGAAAAAACATAATGCTAGGAAAGGTAGAGGGTAGAAGAAAGAGAGGAAGATCACAAACCAGATAGATAGACTCAATCAGGGGGGTTATGGGGAAGGGCTTGCAGGATCTGGGCAAGGCAGTGGAAGATAGAGAATCTTGGAGATGTCTCATCCACAGGGTCGTCATGAGTCGGAACCATCTCGGGGGCAGCTAACAACAAAACAACAACAATAATACCGATAGTTTAGTCTTAGTGTTCAGGCTTGATTTGCTCTCAGCCTTTTTTTTGGTCTTATTCTTCTTGTTGTCTTTTTGACAGTCAATGGTATTTGCAGAAATCTCCTTCAGCACCTCATGTCAGATGAGTTGACTTTTTCATTTCAAATTTCTTCGCAGTTGAAGTTTATATGTATCTTTATAGTTGGGGATCTTATTTAGTTCCTTCACAGCCACCCTCCAAGTCTGGATCTTCTACTGGTTTACTGATTGCAGTGCTCATTTTGATTGATGACTGAGCCAATATATAGAAAATGTTGTTGTTGTTGTTGTTGTTGTTGTTAATATCCCACCCCTCTGCAGAGCAATTGGGGCAGCTTACAACATTAAATGTAATTAGTCTACATCTTCATTATTTACTTTGAAGTAGAGTAAATCTTCCATGATTATTTTGATCATCTTAATATTCAGCCATAATCCTGCTTTTGCACTTTCTTTCTTAACTTTGATCAGTATTCATTTCAAGTCTTCATTATTTTCTGCTGGTTCTAGGGTGTCATCTGCATATTGTGATTGATGTTCTTTTTCAATGTTCATACCTACTTCCCTTGAATCTAGTCCACTTTCTGTTTGGTTGGTTCTGGGTCTAAAGGAAACAAATATGATATAATAATAATAACAACAACAACAACAATAATAATTTTTTATTTATAGCCCGCCCCTCTGCATTGCAGTCGGGGCAGGTTACAGCATTTAAAAACAAACAGTTAAAACTTCCCCTCCTCCCACAATCCAACCCTCCCATCCCCTTAAAACAGAATTAAACTAAGAAAAAGTTAAAATACAACAATACTATAAAATAATCAGACAGCCATTATTCTTGGAAGGCCTGCTGGAAAAGATCCATCTTCATTGCCTTTTTAAAAGCAGCAAGAGTAGTAATGAGACGGATCTCGTCTGGCAGGCCATTCCAAAGTCTGGGAGCGGTTGCAGAAAAGGCCCTCTGGGAGGTCTGAGACAGCCTAGTTTTTATTGGCTGTAGCAGATTCCTCCCAGAAGACCAGAGGGCGCGGGGGGATCATACGGGAGAGGTGGTCCCTAAGATAAGATGGACCCAAGCCATGTAGGCTTTAAAGGTCAAAACCAACACCTTGTACTGCGCCCGGAAACCAATCGGCAGCCAGTGGAGGGATTTAAGCACTGGTGTTATGTGCTCCCTCCTGGATGTTCCAGTAATTAACCTTGCTGTCATGTTTTGCACTAATTGTAGTTTCCGGGTTAGGCACAAGGGTAGCCCCATGTAGAGTGCATTGCAGTAGTCCAGATGTGAGGTTACCAGAGCATGTACCACGGCTCCAGATCCCTCATGTCCAGATAAGGGCACACTTGGCGTATCAGCCGAAGCTGATAACAGGCACTCCTGACTATTGCATTCACCTGACTAGTCATGTGAAGCGACGAATCTAGGAGTAGTACCCCCTAACTGCGAACACAGTCCTTAGTGGAGAGTGTGACTCCATCCAGGACTGGAGACTGTATTCCCAGATCTGGTTTCGGGCCTGTGACTATGAGTACCTCCATTTTGTCTGGATTCAGCTTCAATCTGTTTTTCCTCATCCAATCCATTACCGCTCTAAGGCAGTCATTAAGAGGAGAGATGCCATCTGAAGTCTGAGACGATGATTTGGTCATGGAGAAATATATCTGGGTGTCATCAGCGTACTGAAGACACTGTGCTCCATGCCTCCAAATGATCTCACCCAGCAGCTTCAAGTAGATGTTAAATATCCTTGTCTGATACCGTTGCCCATTTGAAACCATTCTGTTTCTCCATATTCTGTCCTGGTAGTGTATTCTTGTTCCGAATATGGATTATGCAATAGAACAATAAAATGTGTTGATATACTATTGCATTGAGTTAGCATTCAGCAACTGATATGATAGGTCTACTCTAGTTGGGATTAGGAATTGGATTCAGTCCAACAGTTATAGTTGTTCCAGGGGGGCTGGAGTAGTTTCCTCTGTTCTAGGAATATGTCTAGAAATGTGACATGCTCCAGCAATAGATGTGCTGGTCCAGCTCCAGGCACAATTCAAAGTGTTGTTATAACCTATAAAGCCTATAAAGGCAGTGGAGGCTAGCATCAAATGCTTAAATGCAGGATCATCAAAGGACTGTATTTCTCCATATGACCCTTCCCTGGCTCTGAGACATTAGCAAGAGGACCTTCTCTCAGTCTCACCATTCTTTCCAGGTATACTTAGTGGGACGGACAAGAAGACCTTCTTGATGGCTGCTCCTGTATTATGGAACTCCCTTCCAAGAGACACTAGGATTCCTCCCTCCCTATTGCCTTTGTCCCAGTATGCCAGGGGTTCCCAACCTGGGTTGCCCACACCCCAGGGGATGTGAGATGGAATTTCAGAGGGTATGATAAAGAGTGCCTTGGGTAATGAGTTGTGGGCTAATTTTTTTTCTGCATAAATTAGAATTGCTCAATTTAGATTCGCATTTTATGCACATAGTTAACAGATTTTTTAAAATTCAATTTATTCACCCACAGTATTGTATGTGGTCCAATTTGTGATTAAAAAAATGAGAAATTAGACTTCTTCATCTTCAAATGTGATATTACTTTTGTAGATGTTGTGAACATTAATCAAACATTTCCTAGGGGTGTGGGCCTAGAAAAGATTGGGAACCACTGCAGTATTCAGATGACCTTGGTTGCTGATGAATAGGCTTTTAATGTGCATTATTTTTCCTTCTCCCACCTCAGTGGGCTTCTAAATTGTTTCGAACTGTTTTTAATTTGATTTTTGTTTTATTATGTTAATCTGTTTTGTTGAATTTTAATATTATAACTTTGTTCTTGGGAGCCAGTATGGTGTAGTGGTTTGAGTGTTGGATTATTACACCAGATATCAGGGTTCAATTCCCCACTTGGCTGTGAAAACCCATTGGGTGACCTTGAACAAGTCACACACTCTCAGCCCCCAGAAAACCCTGGGATAGGGTCATCTTACGATTGCCAGAAGTCAGAAAAGACTTGAAGGTACACGACAGCAGCAGCAGCAACAACAATGACAACAACTTTGTTTTAGTTGCATCTGTTTTTTATTCAAGTTGTGAGTTGTCTTGTGTTCTAGAATTGGGACAAAAGTAGGATATAAACAAACTAAATGAGACAAGTCAAAGAGAGGATCCTCAGGAGAAGACCTCCCTCTTCACTCATGATGTTTGGAATCCTAGGAGATCCCAGGGACCATAGACAGTGCCCTTAGATTATTTATATTTTGCATTTAAGAACAAGTTTTCCCAAGCTGGCTCACAAATGAAAGAGCAAAACAACAGTAACATTATGATAAAACACATAATAATTAAAAAATACATCTATTAATTTTTTGTAAGCTATTTGAATTTAAAGCTAGTCCAGCTATTTTCAAACTAGGCCTCATGGGTGATGTAATGAAGTATTGGAAAAGGGAAATATCACTTGATACACCTGCAACTAGAAACCAAATGTCAGGGATTCTTCTAGTGTAACCTCCCCTGACGTGTAGTTGTCTAAGTTCAGGGGACTTAAATGTATTTGCACAGGACAGATCTGAAAGAAATCCGAGTGAAAACAGTTTTGGGCTCATTATTTTGGGGAAATTTCTGTTTAACTTTACTTCTGAAGATACATGCATAAGAGCAAATCACAGTACTTGCACAAAACAGCCATATACAGAATTATGTCTAACAAAATGTGGTCTAGTCCACAGACGTTTGTACTGTAGTAAATGAATTTTTTTAAGGTATCACAAGACTGTTCGGCATAGTATTGTTTTTTCCTTCTGGCCTGGCAGGTCTTGTCACCCATTCCTATTTATGCACTCTATAATAAGGATGTTTATTTTTCTTAGGTTCCTATATACCGGAGGGTTTGATGATATCCTGTACATGGGACTATGTGACCTATTCCCCAGCAAACAGAAGTTATACCATGATGCTATGCTGCTGTGTGTTCTTTATCCCTCTCATTATCATCTTCCACTGCTATATATTCATGTTTCTGGCCATACGAACTACTGGCAGGTAAGCAGAGCACTGAAAAAGTGTATATTCTCCAAGATAGTAAATCCGTTTGTATTGTATGGGAGTTCCTGCATGGCAGGGGTTTGGACTGGATGGTCCTTGTGGTCTCTTCCAACTCTATAATTCTATGATTCTATGATTTCTTTTTACATTGTATCTTAATGAGATGAGATAATTGATAGTAAAAAATGACATATTTGTGGGCTTTTCCTGTCTTTTTGTTGTTGTTCTTCTTCTTCATTAGAAATGTTTTGTTATCATCTTTGAAAGTCATTTAAAATTGAAAAAGTGTTTTAACAGTTGGTTGAATAATAATCATTGTAGTGGTTTAAGAGCGTAAAAGTACAGAGTAAATTAGGTGATCTTCACTACTGAAACATTTTCTAGAGAAATAACATGGAAGAATTCAACCTTCATAAAACTAATTTGGAAAATGAAACATAATGTTAGATTTGCTTCTTGTTTTGTATGTTATCTTTTGTAAATGTCTGAAGTAGTACTTTGCAATCGCCTGCCCCATGGTGAGATTCATATTGAGATACACTCACAATAAGAGGGAATACAAAACTTTGGACTTCAGAATTTACAGATAAATTACAAATGCTAAGAAGGGGGAAGAACTGCCCACCCCACCCCCCACACATCCAAAGCCACTATCATAAATTTGTCATAGAGGAAGAACACACATGCAAATGCTCATTTTCTCTTTTGCTAAACTGCCATCTTCTACCCCATTGTATTGATTGCTAGTAATGATAGTCCCATACTAAATGCAGGGACATAGCCAGATTTTCTAGGATTGTGCCCTGTGGTGGGCCTTTCCAATGCTTATAAGTCTGCAGATAGCAACAGGGAATTGCAGTAGAGACTGTTGGCTGTGATAGCAGTGAGAAATTATCCAAGGTGCACCAGCCTCCACTGGACAGTGGCTGCAGATGGGATGGGTAGCAATGCTGAAAACAGGACAGATCCAGATCCCTATTATGCCTCCAGTGTTGTAGAAAGAAGGTGCTTGCCTTCAGTTCTGTTTCTCCATTACAAGAACTGGAGGAATTGGGACAAAGGACATTTACAGTGACTGCATACCCCAAACAAATCATTCCAACACAGCCATAAAGAATTGAAAGGAGATGGGAGGTTGGCATTATCCCCAATGACCATTCCACAGCTCATGGTTCTGGCATTTGCTCAACCAAGCAAGACATCCAACAAATTCTAACTCACTGAAACACTTCTCTCTCTTCTTGATTCTCTTGCTCTCTCCCCCCCCTCCCTATCACAGGAATGTTCAGAAATTAGGATCAACCTATAACCGGAAATCCTCTGTTTCACAATTCATGAGGAGTGAATGGAAACTGGCAAAAATTGCCTTTGTGGCAATTGTGGTGTTTGTCCTGTCATGGTCTCCATATGCTTGTGTTACTCTAATTGCATGGGCAGGGTAAGTGGTGAGTGAACAGTGAGATCATCCATTTTCCCATTTTGGCACCCAAGGCAGTTTACAACAGATTTTTAAAAAGTGTAATTAAAAATAAAAAAAAATACAAAAGTTTAAAAGTGATTAAAATTATAAACCATGAATAGCACAACAGCACAACAAAATAATGAATAGAAAATCCAGCACACTGTACAAAGCCCCTCCCATCTAGATCAGTTCTCAAAGGCCTGTCAAAACAGAAATACCTTCATCTGGTTACAGAAAAAAAATAGGAAAGGTGCTAGTATAACTTCTCTGGAAAGGGAGTTCCAGAGTCTAGGGGCAACCACTGAGAAGGCCCTTTCCCATGTTCCCACCTGTTGTACCTGTGAGGGTGGTGAGACAGAAATAAGGCCCTACAGCAGGTTTCTAAACAAGTGCAGGTTCATAAAGAAGAATGCAGTCTTTCAGATAACCTGGACCTGAGCCATATAGGGCTTTATAGGTCAAAACCAGCATTTTGAATTGTGTCTGGAAACTCTAGTTTGCTGCCTGTTTCCTACAACTGTTTCCAACCAACCACCTCTTACTGTTTCCATGATTGTCATCATTATCATAATTATCTTTATATTTCACTGTTTTGCAAAAATTGGGACTCAAGGCTGCTTACAAATTAAAATTAATACAGTGAAGTTGTATTTAAGTTGTATTTAATTACAACATAGTTTAAAAAGGATCAGCATTAAACTATTCTAATGTTGATCCCAGGTCCTTGCACTACCAGTCAGAAGATATGTAGCTTATCCCATCTTCTCTTCTGAGCTGGTTTTTGTGTTATTTTGCTTTCTTTTTCATGCAAAGAAAAAAGGTGGAAGAAGAGGTGGGAAACAGAGGGGTGGTAGTAAAAAGCTAAACTTTTCCAAGGTTTGATCTAGAAGTACTCATTTGCATTTGTGGATAATATCAATAGCTGCTATACTGAGATTCAAAAGCAGTATATTGTGAAAAATTATGAAATATTTACAAACTCTTCTTTGGGTCTAACTTGTCCATAAAATGCTTTTTTAGAAATCCCATTTGATGTCAAAGAAATATGAAATTTGATTTCTTTGCTCCATCTCAATATGTTTATCACCATTTCACAATTCACATCCAAAGAATTCTGTGCTTGGCTAATGAAAGTTTCATTAAAAATGATTAATTTTTTTTTTTGGTTTTTATTTCCAGTTATGCCAGGACCTTAACTCCATATTCTAAGTCTGTGCCTGCTGTTATTGCCAAAGCTTCTGCAATCTACAATCCCATAATCTATGCAATCATTCATCCAAGATACAGGTACAGTGAATACAGATTTATGGCAGTGATTTTATGAGGAGATTATGTGATTTTAAGAATTTACTATAGAAAACATCTTCACTTCAGTTACTTCAGTTGAATCTTACTAGGGTCATGCATTTTTATGAAATACATAGATTCAATCTCTGTGATCAACAGAGATGGGCAAATCTCTTCTGTAGAATAATGTACTCCACTGGATTTTTCTGGTTAAATATATCTTGGAATTTAGAGGACCTACAGATTTCTAAGCAAAAATATTTCACTGGGATTGCAAGAAGGGGATCCTTTCCCAACACTGGGCTGCCGTAGACCTTCCAGTAACTTCTATGGTACAGCAGTGATATATCATCAATTCTAAAAAGTGAATCTTCATTTACCTTGTTCTTGCATGGAAGAATGAATGATTTCATTGTTTTATTGAAGCTTTAACCCATTTTTTATGATTTTTGAAACATGTGGACTTTTTTTGTGAAAAAATCATTTGCATAAAATCTACTGCTTAGAATCACAGAGTTGAAAGGGACCACAAGTTTTATCCAGTCCAACCCACTGCCATGCAGTAACACACAACTAAAGCACTTCTAAAAGAGGGCAAACCAACCTATTTACAGACCTTCCAAAGAAGTGTCCACCACACTCTGAGGCAGCCTATTCCACTGTCAAACAGCTCTTACAGTTAAGCTGTTCTTCCTAATATTTAAATGGAATCTCATTTCTTATTATTTGAATCAATTGGTTTGTGTTGTTGTCTCGGGCAGCAGAAAACAAGCCCACTTTCTGCAGAAAATGCTGGTTTTGTGCAAAAACATTTTTTTTTTTGCACACAGATTTTTCACAAAAAAATGTTCTGAAGTCTGAAAAATCTTGTTGAGGTTGACAAGGAAGTTGCTCCTAAATAATTACAGGCTATGTGTGAAGTATTTTGTTCCTGTTTGGTATGTTTTCTCCTTCAGTTCAATAAGTATATCTGGATCAGTCAATAATAATACATTTGTAAAACAAGCAGTTCTTTCTGCTTTACTTGGAAGTACTTTAGAAAAATACCTTTCCTGCTTTTTATGCTTGGTTCTTTAAAAATTCTTTACAGATTAGGTGTCAAATCCTGTGTCCCCAG